AAGGGGAAGTGCTGTGGGATGTTCTGTATGGCAAATGTGTTGCTGATTAGTCAATAAATAAAACACTGATTGGCCATTGGCTAGGCAGGAAGTATAGGTGGGACAAGGAGGAGAATAAAGCTGGGAAGTGGAAGGCTGAGTCAGAGAGACACTGCCAGCTGCCATGATGAGAAACAGCATGTGAAGATGTCTGTAAGCCATGAGCCATGTGGCAAGGTATAGATTAATGGAAATGGATTAATTTAAGCTGTAAGAACAGTTAGCAAGAAGCCTGCCACGGCCATACAGTTTGTAAGCAATATAAGTCTCTGTGTTTACTTGATCGGGTCTGAGTGGCTGTGGGACAGGCAGGTGAGAGAGATTTGTCCTGACTGTGGGCCAGGCAGGAAAACTCTAGCTACAGGCCACCCTGCTGGTCCTCAGAATAGCATCAGTTCCACTACTGGGTAAGCAGAGATCAAATGACTCAGACAGCACAGGCCTTCCTAGCTCTGCTACTCCACCCCAGCGACAGGGCCCTAGTTTGGAAAATTTGCATTTTAGTAGAAATTCTTCTGATCCCCCAGAGCACTTCTTGTGGGCTGCTGGCTCCGCCCACCTCAGCTTCCCAACATGGTGGTGGTTTACCGCCAGCTCTGGGAGCTATCGTGGGTCTATGCTTTTATCCAAGCAGCGTGTAGCCCAGAAACCTCTTTTTTTGTTTTGTACTAGCAAAGGCTAAATCCACCACGCAGCTTCATGTGCCACTTGCAGAGGCCTCATTCCCGCCATACTGCAGGTTGAGCATGCACGCTAGGAACCCACCAGTAGCTCAAACCAGCAGCTGCCGCTCATTTGAGAGAGACAATTAGGAAGCTGTTTTTAGCTCCATTTTAGAATCTTTTCTCAGGTTTTAGGTGGAAACTCTTGCCACCACGTTGGATGCCATTTGTAGCTAGAGTTTTCCTGCCTGGCCCACAGTCAGGACAAATCTCTCTCACCTGCCTGTCCCACAGCCACTCAGACCCGATCAAGTAAACACAGAGACTTATATTGCTTACAAACTGTATGGCCGTGGCAGGCTTCTTGCTAACTGTTCTTACAGCTTAAATTAATCCATTTCCATTAATCTATACCTTGCCACATGGCTCGTGGCTTACAGGCATCTTCACATGCTGTTTCTCATCATGGCAGCTGGCAGTGTCTCTCTGACTCAGCCTTCCACTTCCCAGCTTGTCCCGCCTACACTTCCTGCCTAGCCAATGGCCAATCAGTGTTTTATTTATTGACTAATCAGCAACACATTTGCCATACAGAACATCCCACAGCAGTGGCCCTAGCTAATGAGGGACTCTGGAAATGCTTAGCAATCAGGAGTACCAGTGGGAGGGAGTTGAAGATTCTTTCCAAGATTCTCCTCTGGTTTTGCTGGAGGGACCTGTGAGTGTGGGAGTCACTGACCCCAAATGAAGAGGAGCAAGTCTGCTGAGCTGTCAGAACTGCTGGGACTTAGATGGACCATGAACCAGACTGTGTTTCTGTTGGTCCATGTGTGACTTGGACAGTGGCCTTTTCCTCTGAGCCTAATTGTGTTTGGATTCCCCTGGGAGAAAGTGATTCTGCTGCCCTGGCTATGGAAGGCAATGTACTGGAGGCCGTGGGAGTATACAGCAGGAGACAACTAGTTTTAGACAGGTCAACCTACCAGATGAAAAATTCTCTGATGGGGAGCCCCACTTGGCAAAGCCATGGGGTCACTGACTGTAAATGCCTGGTTGCTTCTGCCTGTAATTTTTCTCATGTGCAACTACATTTCTTCCCTAAAAGCAGCTATTGGTGTTTCCCCACTGCCTGTGTGTTTATCTTGTGAAAATATTCCATCTATTGGGCACATATATAGCTGTGTATGGTCAGGAAGATGATTTCTGCTTAAGCTGTATAGTTTTGATGAATAGAAATAATATTAGGATAGTTTTCATAACTGACATAGGAAAGTAACAGTATTCTCAGTCACAAAGACAGCTTTTCACACATTTAGTGAAGACCTCAAAACGAATTCAAAACAGACTAGCTGCCCCTGCAGAGAATATACAAAGTCAATTTCCAAGTGTCTGTTAAACTAATGTCAGGCATGAAGCAACTTTGGTAGACATAACCCCCTACAGCAATTGACTGTCTGCACATACTCCTTACTACACAAGTTTCAACCAACTAACCCTTTATTGTATAAGTCCTGAATTTCAATGTCTGGGAATGCTCACCATGCAGAGTTACATGCTTCCTTTACTCACCATGCCTGGTCAGCATGACCTCCCTAGCCTGAGAGAAATTGTATGACTTAATATGTGTTATGAGAATGGGTCAGACCCTGAAAATATAACATATAATTGTCTAGAGTTTGGCAGTTGAAGTGTGTGTGTGCTGAAAGGGAGATGTAGCTGAGTGGGTAGAGAGATATAGAAGATATAGCTCTATAGAAGAGAGATGTGTATGTAGGAGAGATGTATGTGAAGGAAGAGATGTGACTGCATGGTGGGAGAGCTGTACAGATGAGATGTATAGCTGTGTAGAAGTATATTGCTGTGTGGAAAATGTAACTCTGTGGAGAGAGATGTAGAGATGTGTAAAGAAAAAGTGTGAAGAATGTGTGGAGTATGTAACTGTGTGTAAAGTTATGCAGCTGTGTGGAGACAGATTTTCAGAGAGAGGATTTTTTCAAAATGAAGTAAAAGAAAAATATACCATCTGAAAGTATGTGTTTCTTTAGTTTCATATCCCTTAGATAGAAAAGTTTAGTTCTTGCTACATTTGTGGATTTTTTTTTCTTTGCATATACCCTGGTGCTGCCTGGAGGATGGTCTCCCACAGGCATCGGCAGCTATGGTGTATGTAGCATCACTGCCTAGTGTGCAGTGATCGGCAGATCACTTCCATTTGCAGAGAGAGCTCTATAGCATGGAGCCTTTCTGGAAGAAATATCAGAAGCTGGAGGGTCAGAAACATAGTACTTTAAGGTCACATTGAGTTAATTTTGTGCAAGTTGTGAAGCCTGTGTTTATTTAATTTGTATATACATAGAATTATAGTGAGCTGGGTAACGTTGATTAGATTACACCTTTCCTAGCTGAGTTCCTTTGGTCTTTTGATTAAAACTTGACTATATTTTTCTGCTTTTGTCTTTGGCCTTTTCTTTCCATCTCCCTTATTGTTTCACAAATATTGTACACATTCTTCATTGTTGTAGCTTTGTGGTAAGTACAGAAGCATCATTGTGTCGATGTGTGTACTATTTTTTCATAATCCTCTTGAGCCTTCTGAGTGTTTCCACTTTGCATTTAGCTTTGGAACAGCTTTCCTTTAAGAAATTTTTGGATTCAATTTATGCTGTAAATTTACCACACACTGTATCTTAATACTGATGCATTATGTTCCCAAGAACCATTTATTTACTTCCTTATTTATTTAGATTTTCTTGTTGTTATTATTGTTAATCTGTGAAAGACAGCTTATTGGATAAAAAGTATTATGGGGATTGGCAGGTGGTTCAGCTAATGTTCTTCTTGGGGATGACCTGAGTTCATATCCCAACACCCAAGTTGGAAGGCTTATATCTACCTGCTAATCCAGGAGATTTGATACCCTCTTCTTCTGGTCTTTCACCTGCACACACATGGAAAACATTCTTACACACAAACATATACACAAAAAATGGGGATAAAGTTGTTTTCAAAAGTTTTGTGACTTATAAAACAACTAGAGCAAAACAAGTTGCTTTAGGTGTATAATACAAACCATACAATGATTCCTTAAAAATCTATTATCTTATATTTGGCTTGGAAAAGTTTTCATTTCTTCACTCTGATTCAGACTTACAGGCAATCATCAATCTTAGGAAACAAAATGGCTTCTTAGTGATCCTAAGAGACATCCTTTCTTTATCATAGGAGAATGAGATCCTTTTAGTAGTCAAAAGTATTTTCTACAAAGTTAAAACAGCAGAAGGTTTCAAGTGAATCTCTCCAGTTTTGGTGGAACTCCCTCCTTGCCCAACCTGTTTTCTGTTATTGGCAAAAGAGAGAGCCAAGGTGAACATGATGAGTGCTGGTCAATAATTTCTGGAGTTTGATTTTGATTAGAATTTAGTAGTTCTCACTTAAGGGACCATGGTATATGTTTGTAGGTCTGTATTTATGTCTAATTTTTTCAGTGGTATGATCTATGTTGTTGATTTTATTAATCATCATCTAAATATATTGTTGTTTCTCTGGAAAATGATGGACCTTCACCAATTTTTGTATTCAGAAAATTTAATATGTTATGAGTTCCTTGAGATTTTGCTGGCTTGGGAAATTTCTGCGGAGACAAAGTTTTAGTTTTCTATTCTTGATCTTAGAGGCTTGCTTCTCATTTCTATGCATATCTATGTTTTCCAGTTGTTGCTATCTTTGTGTTTGGGTTTTTACTGCTTAAATGATTGATATGGTTAATGCATTGGTTTTGAGTTTTTAAAACCTTCTCATATATTGTTGTCTCTTTGTCTCAATTAGCTTCAGCTGTCAACATGATGTAACCTGTAGTACTCTGAGGGAACACCTATTGAGAGCATGCCCAGATCAAAATTACTAGTTACTGTGTCTGTGAAGAATTGTGTTGACTGATGATTAATGTGGGAAAGCTCCTCCACTGAGGTTGCAATATCCTAAGCAAATTGACCTGGACTGGATAAGAGAGCTAGAGGAGCACAAGACTGTGACCAAGCAAGAGAGAAAGCCAATAAAACAAAGTTTCCCCATGGATTTTACAGCTATTCCTGTAGGGCTTGGAGTGAAGGAGTGTTGAGAGTAATGTGGAGGTGGAGGTCGAGGTCACAGGATTTCAGTGAGAAATAGACTCCATGACAAATTTAGCTAGAGGTCATTTGTATAATATTTTGTCACCCCCCTATTTTTACTTTCTCCATTCCCTGAGAAATTGGGTAAAGCAGAATTAAAAAGTAATGGACTGATTTCTTAGACAAAGTATTGATTTTGTGGGATGGTTGTTATTGATGACTCATTCAGGTCTACAGTGAAAAAGAAACAACTGGGGCAGAAAGAAATGGAAAGTCAGTTTCATAGAGAAAAACAGAACTAGATGGTTTCAGATGGCAGTCCAGTGGTGAAACAGAGGCAGGAACTTTCAGGGAGTTTAGTATCATTAAAGGGAAGGCTCTTGCTCTGTATTGGAAGCTGAGAAAGATTCCCTAAGGGTAAGAATCCATACAGCTAAGCCTTCAATTTATGAAAGGAGTAGGCAAAGTGATTCTTAGTCCCAGGAGGCAACTTCATATAGAGCCTGCTAAAAATCTGGTCCATGTGTGGCAGGATTGATCACAACTTAGAAGCCTGATTCAGGGGGATCATCCATGATGTACTGGTCCTGGAAACAAGAAAGATGCAAAATTTAAAGTCATGGCATCTTCCTCTGTGATTTCAGTTCAGCACGGTTGCACCCACCTATGTTTGGCAAAGTCAGAGCCCCAGTGAGGAGACTGAGAGTTCATTGCAGTGAAGCAGTGAAGATAAATCCTAAGTTACATTTTGAGACCTTAAGGTTGAGATACCTAAGCTATGTGAAATATTCTACAGAGAGCTGCATATGGTGAGTGAACATAACCCAAAAGAAAGATGTATGAAAAGCTGCAGGGATAGGGCCATCTAAACGCTTTGAAACTGAAGCCCCATGTTTCTGACACAGAGCTACAGGATTTGTTTGCTCTTCTGGATTTCAATCTTGTTTTGGTCCAATCTTCCCTCATTATACCCCATTCCTGTAGTTTGAGTTTTCCTGCCTGGCCCACAGTCTGGGCAAATCTCCGTCACCCACCAGTCCCACAGCCACTCAGACCCGACCAAGTAAACACAGAGACTTATATTGCTTACAAACTGTATGGCCATGACAGGCTTCTTGCTAACTGTTCTTACAGCTTAAATTAATCCATTTCTATAAATCTATACCTTGCCACATGGCTTGTGGCTTACCGGCATCTTCACATGCTGTTTCTCATCATGGCGGCTGGTAGTGTCTCTCTCACTCAGCCTTCCACTTCCCAGCTTTATTCTCCTCCTTTTCCTGCCTATACTTCCTGTCTAGCCAATGGCCAATCAGTGTTTTATTTATTGACCAATCAGCAACACATTTGCCATACAGAACATCCCATAGCACTTCCCCCCCTTTTTTTTTCAAAAAGGAAGGTTTTAACCTTAACAAAGTAAAATTACATATAATTTGGGAATTTGGGCATAGCTTCTCTTACTACTTCCTGCTGGAGGGGGGCGCTGTATCTTATGGGAACACAAAGAAAATTTTAGGATTATGGAGTAGTCCATGTGGGTGTACCGTCTGAGCCAGTTGCCTTGAAACCATTCTGGATGTTGAATCATCTGGGCCATGGTGTCATCGGAGACCTTTCAGGGGGTCTTGGCTGGTCAAACCTGATGTATCTTAATCTGGAACAAATCCATAGCCTCTGGCTTTCTGTGGGAACAAAAGAGACTCTTTTCCAAAGCAACATATCCTTATATCCAAATTTTGAAGTCAAGGTATCTTTAAAATATACATATTGGCATAACTCAACAGCTTTTACAATCAAATGTTTTTCTGCAGTTAAAAATCCCAAAGACAACACAATCCAAATTCTCTGTGTAATATTCATTTTTACGTGGCTTATTTTTTTATATTAATTTTATTGTCTCTTTAAAGACTTTATTTTTTAAAACTATGTATTTGTTTCTATAACTGTATATATCACCTTTTTTGTCTCTTTTAAGCCTATGTATATCTTACACACATTGTAAACTATTACATCTGAATCTGTCTTATTGTGAATCTATTGCTTTAAACTGCAGCAGCTGTGGCTGCTGGCTCCGCCCACCTCAGCTTCCCAACATGGCGGTGGTACTTTACCACCAGCTCTGGGAGCTATCGTGGGTCTATGCTTTTATCCAAGCAGCGTGTAGCCCAGAAACCTCTTTTTTTTTGTTTTGTACTAGCAAAGTCTAAATCCACCATGCAGCTTAATGTGCCACTTGCAGAGGCCTCAGTCCCGCCAAACTGCAGGTCGAGCACGCACACCAGAAACCCACAAGTAGCTCAAACCGGCAGCTGCTGCTCATTTGAGAGAGACAATTAGGAAGCTGTTTTTAGCTCTGTTTTAGAATCTTTTTTCTCAGTTTTTAGGTGGAAACTCTGGCCCCACGTTGGGTGTCATTTGTAGCTTGAGTTTTCCTGCCTGGCCCACAGTCTGGGCAAATCTCTGTTACCCGCCAGTCCCACAGCCACTCAGACCCGACCAAGTAAACACAGAGACTTATATTGCTTACAAACTGTATGGCCATGACAGGCTTCTTGCTAACTGTTCTTACAGCTTAAATTAATCCATTTCTATAAATCTATACCTTGCCACATGGCTTGTGGCTTACAGGCATCTTCACATGCTGTTCCTCATCATGGCGACTGGTAGTGTCTCTCTCACTCAGCCTTCCACTTCCCTGTTTTATTCTCCTCCTTTTCCCACCTATATTTCCTGCTTAGCCAATGGCCAATCAGTGTTTTATTTATTGACCAATCAGCAACACATTTGCCAGACAGAACATCCCACAGCACATTCCTCTCTTTTGGAATGTAAATTTGTATTCCGTGCCATTGTGTGTTGGAAAGATGTAACTTGTTTTCTGATTTTACAAGATATCACAATCAAGCGATTGTCTTGAGTTTTAGAAGAGTCTTTGGACATTTGAACTGTGTAGGGGTTGTTAAAGACTATGAGATCATTAAAGTTAGGCTTAATGCATTTTCATCATGGGATGACTATAGTGATCTGGATCAGAATGTAGCTGATTGGATGAAAAGCTTCCAGATGGGATGATGCATTTGAACACTTGGCTCTCCTTGGCAGTTTTCTTGTGGTGCTTGGGGAACCTTTTGTAGGAGGAGCCTTTCTTGATGAAATTCCTCATTGAGAATAAGATAAATTTGTATATAGCCTCTACCCATTTTCTGTTCATTGTATCTACTTTTTTGTTGTTGAAATGGATTAGCTAGCTTCCTTCTCATTCTATTATGCCTTCTCCACCATTACAGAAGGTATCACCAAATCACATAATATATAGGTGAAGTAATTGCTATTCAATTCTAAGACATTTTGCTAGCCTGTATTTTGTTTTTTAAATTTTGTTGTTTTATTTATTTTCTGTTTCTTTTTACAAGGTTTCTCTGTGTAGCTTTGGAGCCTGTCCTGGAACTCACTGTGTAGACCAGGCTGACCTTGAACTCAAGAGGTCTGCCTGTCTTTGCCTCCCAAGTGCTAGGATTAAAGGCGTGCTCCACCACCATCTGGCTATTTCCTTTTTTGAAGACAAGTTTGTCTTCATAGCCCTGGCTGCCCAGAAAGTACCTCTGTATACCAGGCTGGCCTCAAACTCAGAGGTCCAAATGATTCTGCATTCTGAGTGCTGGGATTGAAGGTGGACCACATATGCTTGGCTGTTTTTCTTTTCTTTCTTTTCTTTTTTTTTTTTTTGGTTTGGTTTTATTGTTTGTTTGTTTTTTTTTTTTTTTTTGATATTGTTGGCTGATAGACCTGGAATGGAGTTTTTTGTACATGTCAAGCATATGCTGTTGTGCTGAGCTTCACCATATCTTGAATTTTGAAATTTGGCAAAGGGTATCATTCTCTTTCCTAGGATGGCAGTATTCTTGACATTAATACTGTCTGAGCCTTCTGAGTCATTGGATTGCAGGTGTGTGACATTCTTCCTACCTATTGTGTTTGTTTTTAATTCTTTTGAATGAATATGATTTATTTGCCTCTATGCATGGATATGCCCCACATGTGTGCCTAGTCCTCACAGTAGTTAGAAGATGGCCTCAGATACCATGGACTTGGAGTAATGGACAGTTGTGATCCCCCATGTAAGTACTAGCAATTGAATCCACCTATCTGCAAGACCAGCAAGAGCTCTTAACTGCTGAGCCATGTCTCCTGTTCTATGTAATTTCTATGATTAACATTTACATTGCTAATGTTTTCCTCTGTCAACTTGTTACTGTTTAAACACACATTGTCTTTATTGAGATCTTATTCATGTTACAGTTTAGGACATTTCAAGTTTCTAGAAGATGAATATAGAACTGGAGTAAAGGCATAAGTCTTTGTAGGAACTTCAGTAAAAAAAAAATCTCTGATTTCTTTCTACCTTTTTTGTTTGTTTGATTGATTTTTGTGGGGGAGACAGGATCCTATTAATACATAACTATGGCTTCCTGGAGCTCACTACATAGACCAGGCTGGCATCCAACTCAATTAAATTCACCTGCCTCTGCCTCCTGAGTGCAGGGATTAAAGTCATGCGCCATTACACCCAGCTTACCCATCTCTTTTCTAGTTAGTAATTGTTCATACAACTTCTCTGATTTATTCTCAGTACCATTGATCTTCTTGCTTTTCTTTCTTTATGTTTGCTAATTGATGTTTCTCTTTCAAGGTTATATATATTTAAAGGGCCAAGAAATGATACATGGGAACCTCCTATTCAGTTTACTTCTAAAATTACTTGGTGATTACATTAGAACTTCTATGTCATGGAATAAGTATGGGTAGCACCAGAATTATGAATATATTGTCAAAGAAGTATATACCTACATGCTGTTAGTATCACACTTTCTACTGTACACATGTATGGGATATTTTACAATGCATTGACCTATAAAGGTGTGCATGTTGACTTTACTCAGGAGGAGTGGGCTTTGCTTGGTCTTTCCCCATGAAGAGTCTGTACAAAGATGTGATGATGGACACCTACAAGAACCTCATGCTACAGGTAAGACTGTGAATTTTGCCTTATAATTTAAGAGACGGGGACAACTGTTCCTTGGTTATTGATGCTCTTCTGTAACTTCAATTGAGAAAGAAGAATGATGTGAATAAATCAGGCATGAATCTAAGGTTCACTGAAGATAGTAACTTAAATATTGCACAATGTCCAATATTAAATCATGCATTTTCTGGTTCTATATTTCTGGCTACAGTGGGAAGACCATAATATTGAAGAACATTGTCAAATTTCTAGAAGACTTGGAAGGTAATTTTCATGTGCACATGGATACAAATGTGCCTTTGAAGAAATTTTAATGTGTTCTGGAAATTTCAAAGAAAAGCAACAGTGTAAATAATCACAGCTTAATGTATACTGATGATTATTAAATTCCCCCAAAATTGTGTACCTCAATGTCAGGTGGCTGATATATGTTTACAAGGCATTCCTCTAAGAAAGAAGACAAGAAAACAATGCCTTTACAAATATCACCATTTGAATCACAGCTACATGAGAGCTATGCTGTAGAACTGATAATCTGTTTAGTTTCATACCACTCAAATATTACCAAAAGAATACATGTTGAATATGTGATAAGTATATGTCCAAAACCTTCTAATAAGCAAATAGTTCATAGTAAAACTGGTGTTACTCATATACTTGTGACTTTGTTAATTTTAGTGAGAGGGGCAGTTTATACTAGTCAGGAATGTTGTTGTGGAGAAACCTTAATCCCTATAACACAAGTCCATCAGGAACCAAAAGACAAACTGTGTGAATACAATATGAAAAACTATTACTTTTAATTTTTCCTTTAATTGGTGTATCATATGTCATTCTAGGTACAAGCCATGTGAGCATGGGGATATGGAAAGAAGCAATGTACCTCTCTCTCTCCCAGAACAATTAGGAGATATTTAGTTCCACTTTGATTAGAATTGTTCAATGTGATAAAAATTTATAAATATTTGGTTTTCTGACTTCATTGAAAATATGTCAACAAATTCACACTGCAGAAAACCTATGAGAATAGGAATGTATAAATTTTGTATAAATACAAAATTCTGTTTGTCCTGGGTTGCTTTTCAAATGCAGTATGACTCACAGTATAGGAAAATTTAAGAATGCAGTATTTGTGGTAAAGCTCTGAGTTCTTCTAGTTCTCTTCAAATATGTGAAAAATCTCATATAGGAAAAAGATGCTACAAATGTGAACCATGTAATAAAAGCTCTTACCATCACAAGTATCTTCAAAGATATTCAATATGGTGAAGAGTTCATGCCTCCTGTAAGGAGAGAAAAGGAACTTGCAGGCATGAAGACTGACTTGCCTGTACAGGATGCTATTCTGCTTCCCTGACATCTACAAAAGCCTCAGTTAGAAGCCTGGTGCGATGGTGACTCCAGATGACATCCAGGTTGTCAGGAGATCCTGAGACTTAAACAGAAGTCACTCTATGGCTGAAGCCATCAGGCATTTACAAAGAGCTATGGAGTATGAAAGAACTGTTAGGGAGGGAGCTTTGGGTGTAAAAGCCAAAGGATCAAATGCCCAGAGAGCAATGCTTGGGGTATACCTGAGGACAAGCTGGCTCCTACTGTGCTCTCTGTATCCACTCAGCTGTGGTGGATCAGGCCCTCCAGGTCTTCCATGGTTTCCTTTTCTTGGCATTACATGTAGCTGACAGTGATAGCACCCTGCAGGCCTCTACTTTGCAGTCCCCACTTGGGCCTAAAAGCTCCTCAGTCCCCACCCTGTCAATCCCTGGAACCTGCCTGCCTGGTAGGAATAATTTCTAAAGAGACATTTATATCTCTCCCTTTTGCTAACAACTTGTGAAACAGTAAACCCCATGGAATTCTAATTTCCCCAGGAACCTCATGGGAAAAGACTTAGTCCTCAGATTGAGAATGTCTCTACTGAATAAACATTTTCTCCTTATCTGACCACCTTTCTGGAGAGACAGGAACTGAGAATGGGAGAGGATTTTACAGATAGGAAAAATTCATTATATGGATTTATTAGATTACTTAGTTTTGTATATCTCTTGACTTCTATCAAAACCTGTTAGGACCTCAAGAATGGATTAGTTACCTTATATCTTCATCACTGTTCCAAATTAGTCAAACTGAATAAATATCATGTTTTCATTAACAATTTTCTTTTCCCCTTTTCTATTGTTTTCTTTCTTTTTTAAAAAAAATAACCTTACTATGAATCTGTTGCTAGCCTGGAACTCTCTATAGACTAGGCTGTCCTAGGACATCAGAGAGATCTGCCTATCATGCCTCCAGAGGTCCCACACTATAGGTAGCCAGATCATAACTGTATAACTCGGTTCTTTTAATTGACTTACTGAGGATGTGTGGGTGATCCTGGCTGGTTAGGGTAGCAAGGACACAGACTCTTGTCTAACTCCAGTAACAGAAGAAAGCTCCCATCAAATGCAGGCTTACTGCATTAAAGTCCACTGTCTTCCAACTATGAACAATATTGTTTTTCATTATCATTGAGTCTGTTATAACTCATCAAAGGACCTGAGCATAGTTCTGTCCTTATTTTACAGTTGTTGAAACCCAGGCTCACCTAGATAAGTAGTTTTTTAATATAGTTAAGTATAACTGCTTATCTTACTCATTCTGTCTTTCTAATGCTTCACTAATGAAATTGAAGCCAACTAAGCCAGACATGGTGGCACAGGTCTGTAACCATGATACTTAGAATCTGTAGGCAGCAATTTCAGGATTTCAAAGTCATCCAAGATGAGAATGGCCAATGGGATATGTTGGGAGGACTATGGAAACCAAGGGAGACTGTGATTGGCTCAGGAAGGTGCCCATAGTCTTCCCTACAGCTCCAGAATTTCAGAACCATAGCACCAGCAATTATTACCTGAGGTATTTACCACCTCAAGTTTTCTGTTCTTGATAATATTTCCTGTCCAAGGCAACTTTGGGGTCATACTCCTTTTGCTCATTAAAGAGTGGAATTCTCCTACACATAAGAAAACTAGCCTCAAGCAGGAATGAACTCCCTAGTTGCATATCCAGTGCAATATTGCCAGATCTGAAACCATATACACACCCCCAACAGAAATGGACTCAGCAGTTTTTATTCATATATTTGTGCGTATATATTCACATATACTTAACAAGGAAGAAATGGAAGGGAAGAATTTGAGAAGGGATTGAGAAAGGACAAGGATGGCAGAAAGTGATGTAATATGTTTTAATTAAAATGTATCAAAATAAATTTTAAATGAAAATATGGCTAGAGAGATAGCTTAGCAGTCAAGAACACTGGGTGTGGTTACAGAGGACACAGGTTCCATTCCCAGAACCCACCTGGTAGCTAGCTCCTGTAACTCCAGTCCCAAGGAATCTGATGCCCTCTTCTGGCCTCTGCAGGTACTGTGCACAGATGCTTGAAGGCAAACACTCATATACATAAAACAAAAATAAAGCTTAAAAATAGAATTCTCTATCATGATGTCACAGCTCTGAGATAGACAGCTGGCAGGGCTAGTTAAAATGAGCTCCTTCTGATCCTTCATGGAACCAACTGTTTGCTTTCTCTGAGCCAGCATGCTCAGAGGCAAAAGCAGCCTTATTCTGTCTGAGGTTTGAATATCTCAGCAGGACTGTTCATCTAAGAACAGCATCCACAATGACTTTTCCCAGATATTTTC